GCTAAATGCTTTCCAGCCCAAACTGAAGAAGACAATATTGAGGGGTTGTATAGCACTGGCGACCCCCTCATGGACCGGATCTTTGATGAACTGGGTGCTCAATGCATAGCAGCTTTGGAGGACGAGCAGTCTGAATGTGAAGGAAGTACCGATACGCAGTTTCCTAATATTGTTCTTGTACCACCATCTCTTTTCTGCAAAATCCACTCGCTTATTCCCAAGGTGAGGATACTGACTCCCAAGATGAGCCCTTGTGATACCGTTCAGGAGGGTACTAGTCAGGTCAGAGAATGTCTCATGCAAAGTCTGTCCAGCCACGAAGCAAAGACAGACTCACCTGTGACAACCACCCGTAACCTTGACCAGGAAACTGGATCTGATCTGGAGTTCTGTCCCGCAAAGGACAATGCAGTTCATGCTCTAAGTGACGACAAGGCTGGACCACTGAAGTTGGAAATCAATCTCGTTGAAGGTGATCCTCCTGTCAAAAGGCCACCACGTAGGAGACGTGGTAAATGACCTACCCATAGTTCTTCCAAAACACTGTCTGAGAATGCTGGAAAACATAAGGTGAAAGCTTCAGAACAACTGGTGGAAGAAGTTATTGTTCCAAAAGCAACTCATGACTTTCATGTGGAGAGTTTTGATGATTCCAATTTTAACCCTTTTGCCTCTGAGGGTTCGAAGATTGGCATCTCTCTTACAACCGCAACTGTGAAAAATGAGTTGACACCAAGTAAAGAAGACTGTCATCTTCAAGTGGAATACAAAGAGTCAGACATGGTGCAATGCGACAGACTTGTAATGGATCAAGTCCAAGCTAAGGATCTAAATGAGACCGGGCTTGTTCAAAACCCACAGTCTGAAAAAGAATCTATACTTCTATGCAATTCTAACAATGTTCTTCAAACTACAAGCTCTGGTAGAACTATTTATCTGCTCTAAGAGAAAACACAAATTACCACACTTGTATCTGAACAAAGCATCGAAGACTCTTCCAATCAGCCGCTTAACCAAACTCCAAGTGAAGTGAGTGAAACCGAACAAGGAGGTAGCATTCACATATCTGGTACCTTTTCCCTTGCTGAAGGAATGACTATGACTCATCAGTTGCCATGATGTCTGTCACTTCACCTTACAACAGGAAGATGACTTGTGCCTCACATAGGCTGAAGTGCAGGAAGGACAAGAAAGGGAAAGAGAACCCGAATTATGTTCTTCTGCTACTCCAAAAATTTAACTTTCTACAGTTAATGATAACCATATGCTCAAGACCACAGATGAGGTAAATGACACTGTGGTAGCAGGGGCGGACTGAGAACCCTCAGGGCCCCCGGGCAAAATAAATCAAGGGCCCCCTTACAGGCCCCACCCATACTCTGCAGCAAGCGCCACCCTTGTCCCGCCTCCATACACCGCCTCCAGCCACACCCTACACAATCTTTAGACACAAGGAACAAAAGGGCAATAAGCCCTTCGAGGCCCCAGCAGAGACTACAATTGAGGGCTAATGGGCCATGGAGGGGGGTCTTTCTAGCGGAGGCTATCTCAGTGTCCTTTAGAGAGTGTGTTAAGATAGAATCCCCTCCAAGCCCCATTAGAGACTACAATGGAGTCTAAAAGGCTTGGAAGGGGGTCTTTCTAACAGAGGCCATCTCAGCGTCCATTAGATATCCCCTGCTGGAAACAGTCGCCTCCAGGCCCCAGTAGAAACTACAATTGAGGGCTAATGGGCCATGGAGGGGATTTCTAGCAGAGTCGAGAGTCTAATGGGGCCTGGAGGGTGGTCTCTCCAACACTCTGGTTCCTATTCACAATATAGCAACACAACATAGCTCGCTGATACCTAAGCCAAGTTGGCTCCTCTTACCTTAATTACTGTTGCTGGCTGGCAGTCTGTGGGCTTGCTTGCTGCGGCTGGCAGGCTGTGGGCTTGCTGGCTACTGCCGGCAGGCTGTGGGCTTGCTGGCTGCGGCTGGCAGGCTGTGGGCTTGCTGGCTGCGACTGGCAGGCTGTGGGCTTGCTGGCTGCGACTGGCAGGCTGTGGGCTTGCTGGCTGTAAGCCTGTGGCTTGCTGTAGGCCTGTGGGCTGGCTACTGGCCTGTGGGCTGGCTAACTGGCTGGCTACTAGCCAGCCTGTGGGTTGGCTGGCTGGCTACTGGGGCACTTGTAGATTATTTAAATAAATAATCCATGCACAATAACCACTACTGCTCCAGAGTAAGTAGTCAAACCATTTAAGAACAGTTTGACAACTTACCTGGGGTCTGCTGGGATATGAGGCTGTAGTAGGGAATAGGAGCAGTGGTGCAATGTGTGTGAAAGGTTCAGTGTGTGTGTGGGGGTGTAGTGTGTGAATGTGTAGGGTGTGTGGGCGGTGTATGTGTGTGGCAATGTTAGTATGGGGGGCTGTGTATGGGGGTCTGTGTGTATATGGGTGGGCAGTGTATGTGTGTGTGTGAGGCAATGTGTGTAAATGTGTATGGTGTGTATGGGGCAGTGTGTGAATGTGTATGGTGTGTGTGTGGGGGCAGTGTGTTTATGGGGCTTCACTCTCACCACTGCGACCACCAGGAATCCATGGGGGTTACAGTGTTGAGAGTGAACTCTAGCCCCATAGCTCCAGGGCTAGAGTTGACTCTCG